TGACAACCGAATCCAGTCAAAGGATGCCTCTCAGATACTCATGCTCACAGTCAGGACATCCTATGCTCATCGCCCTCCACCCCCAGCAATAAAAAGCCATTTCTGCACCTCCTGTGTGGTCCTGCATTCCTTCCATTGGGATTTCAGGGAAGGCAAGGTATGGGCAATCAGGGCAGCGGAGACCTGGAGCCAAAGCTGGAAGGAAATTTTGGGATTATCCAGCCCCACTTCCGTGTCTTACGAATGGGACCACTGAGGCCCAGGATGGGCAAGCAGGTGACCTGAGGTCACATAGAGATGGCCTCGCTCTGCTTCTGCTACAACACCGCCATGATGGAGCGCTGCCTTCGCCAGCACACCTGACCTCATGACCTCCTCACAGCACCCTTCTGTTCTTGTCTCCATTTTACAGATTAGGAAACTGAGGCTCATAAAGGACAAGTGACACATCTAGGTTACAGGGTGGCAACTGGCAGGACTAGGATTTAAACCCATGGTTATGGGATCCCTTGCTCAGAGAGGTGACGTCCCATCTCCCAGTACTCAGACACCTCTCCCCAGCGCCCAGCAGGTCTCCATGTCCTGGCCTTGATCTGATGAGGTTCCTCTTGTGGCCCTTCTGTCTCCTCAGTGTGCAAGCCCTCAGTTTCCCCTTTGCCTTGAATGTGGTGCACAGCACCCCTTATTCACAGCTGCATCACCGCTGCAGAGGACAGACCCAAGCTATCACCTCAGGGTCCCCGAGCCTCTCCTTTCCAGGAGGCCATCTGACTTTCCTGCCAAGAGGCCCAGGGAATATTCTTCCATGTTGCCAAGGAGTCATCTCAGTGCTGTGTGCAATTCTGTGAGCGAAGAACCACTGTCGTCTTCATGGGAGACTGGGGTTAAAAGAGGCCAGGGTCAAACAGAGGCCTGCACCAGCTGCTGCTTCACTCAAGAACCTTCTGTCTAAAGGATGCCTCACAAGGTCAAGTCATCTCAGGAGGCCCTTGAGCCCCTGGGGCAGCTGGGAGGCCTTGGACCAGCTCTCCCAAGAGACCTCAGTTCAGGCTATGCCGGGGCTTCTAACACAGCGTGAGGTGAGAGGTTGGACAGAGCTGAGCATGACCTGGCCTCTGCTGTTGCCAGCTGTGTGATCTCAGCCAACTTACTTAACCTCTCAGAACCACAGTCATCAAACCTGCCAATGGAGTTAACAGTAAAACCTCCCTCGTTGTGTTGTGAGAATGAAATGAGTCAATGAGTGGAAAGTGCTTTACCAGAGTCTGACCCTGGTGAGCACAAGATGAATGTCAGCCTCGACACACTGGAATTGCTGCCAAACAGTGTTGAGAAAGCACATATGAAGTCTTTATACACTGTATCTCATTAGATTCTGATTTCTACTGAGTGATTCAGTGAATGGTTCCTGGAGGAGGTGTGGCAACTGAGTCTCAGAGAGGGAAAGTAACTTCTCCAGGGCTACACAGCCAGTCAGAGGCAAAGCTAGATTTCAGGTGAAGTCTGTCTCTTCCAGAGCTGGTTCTTCCCATGCTGGACATAGCAAAGGGATGAGCACCTTCCTCTCTGTCTATATTTTGTGACAATCCCAACTCCCACAACAGTGCACAAGGAGGTCTCACAATTCAGAACTTCTCTTGAGCAGTAGCCCACTCGGGTCAGTGCTAAGACTTTGTCCAGGCTGTTCCATCCACCTGGTCATCATTCCTTCTCTCCCTCCAGCTTCTCAATCCCCCTCAGCCCTAAGAATCTGCTCAGGAGCTGTCTCCTGGTAAGTGGGGACCACTCCTTAATGTTTCTCCAACAAAAAGACCATTTGTTCCAGCTGGTAGGTCTACCCAAGATACCTTGTTATCATTGTCCCATACAGACAGAGGGTTCAGGAAGTGTCAGCTTTCATGATTATCATTTACCTGTTTTTAATAATCATTTTTTCCCAATTTTTGGTGAGAAGTAATTGACATTCACTGTATAAGTTGGAAGCAACAGTTTGATTTCTGCATATTATGAAATGATTATGACAATAGGTTAAGCTAACATTCATCTCCTCATATAGACACAATAAAAAATAGCGAAAAAGAAAAACCCGTTTTCCTTGTGATGAGGACTCTTTAAGATTTGTTCTCTCATCAATGTTCCTATATATCACACATCACTGCTATCTCTAGTCACCATGTTGTACGTTACATCCCCAGTACTCATTTGTTTAGAACCTAAAATATGAGGAAGATTAGCAATAGATGCCTACATTAAGAAGCAAGAAAAACCCAAATAAACAACCTACCTCTATACCTTAAGGGACGAGAAAAAGAAGAATAAACTAAACCCAAGGTTACCACTGAAAGAATACAATAAAGATTACAGCAGGAAAATTTGAAATAAAGAAGACAAAATAATAGAAAATATTAACCAAATTTTAAAAAACTAATATTTGTCCTTTGAAAATGTAAAAGAAATGAAAAAACAGTTAGCTAGATCTCAAGACTTGCAAAGGGACTTTAGGTCTTCACATGTCTGCTTTGTCCTCAGGACAGTATTTATATACAAACATTTGGGCAAAGTTCACTAGAAAAAGAAGCTATCCAAAGGGGATGAGACAAAGTATTGTTATAGTGCCTTGATCCAAGTGTGCCTGAAGTCCTCCTTGCCACAAAATTTCCAGTTCAAATACATGTCTCGCTTCCTATTTTTTATGTTTATTGGAGCCAGTGTGAGTCAGGTCCTGCCATTCAAACCCACAGTAAATGCTGATAACGTATTTGTAGACTTATGTCTTCCTCCTCCATTCTGATGTCTACCTGAGGGTCACAGCCACATTGGAAACATAATAGATGTCAAAGGCACAGGAGACCTTAGATTCATCATTTCCACCTCTTTCCTTAAAAGTCTAGGGAGACTGTGGCCCTGAGGAGGAGAGGGACTCATGTCTGGCCACATGTGACTAGAACCCCACTTATTTTCCTCCTTCTATTCACCTGTTAGGTTTCTTGAGATTATCTACTTGGACAATAGTGTTAGTAGCTTAGGCGTGTCTGACTTTTTGCAACCTCATGGACTGTAGCCCACCAGGCTCCTTGGTCCGTGGGATTTCCCAAGCAAAAATTACTGGAGAATTTGCCATTCCCTCCTCCAGGGGATCTTCCCAGGGGATGAACCTGGGTCTCCTGCACTGCAGGCAGATTCTTTGCCATCTGAGCTACCAGGGAAGCCCTTTTACAAAAAAGATTAAACAGCATTATCTAATAGCTTTGCTTAAACTATAGACACCTGAGCCCCTTCCTAGATACTTAGTGTCAGGGGTTCCTGGAGAGTCTGGTTCTGGAGTGGCTGGCCAGAAATGGAAACAAGTGGACTAGATGGACCAAAGGTACGTTCTAGGGTACTTTGGGTTCTAAGAGCTGTACCCCCATGCCATCCTCTAGAACCCCAACTTTGTCTAGACACTACCCACAAAACCCTATGTCTTACCCTGTTTCATTTCAATGGGAACCAGGCAGGGGGTGTTACTGCCCTCATATCTTGGCTGAGGTATGTGAGCTCAGAAGGGGAGGATGACTTGCTCAAAGTCAAACAGATGGGAAGGGGCAGAGATGGACAGTGCTCCCAGTTCTGCATCTTCTCCCATCAAGATGGACTGTTCCAGTTCACAGCCTCTGGAAGCAACAGTGAGTCACAGTCATTGACCCCAGTCCAGCACCCAAGTGGGGCAGGCAAATGGCTGGCCCAGGGCTTGGCATTGTGTGGCCACTTTCACCATTGGTGCTCACGACAGCCCACTAAGGAAGTAGGGAAAACTCCTTTTCCACTTGAGGAAACTCAAGTCAGGTGAAAGGAGGTGACTTGCCCAGATGTCACAAGGAAAGGAACCCAAGATTTGAGTCCCCAGGAAGATCAGATCACATTGGGACCAGCTGGGGGGCAGCAAGGTCCTTAGGCTTGAATATCATGTTTATTCCTTGACCTCTGCTGTCTGAGTTGGTTGTTATGTATGGTGCATTGGGCTCCTGTCAACCTGGAACACCTCGTCCAGGATACAAAGATGGATGCCCAGTTGGCATTATGGTGGAAGAACCATGAGAGAGCTCCAGGTGATCCAGGGTCAATTTCCTCCGGTTCTGGGCTGAGAGAGGATAAACACCACCACCCACTCCCCACCGCAACACACACACACACAGTGGTCTGTGGAGAAGCAGAAGCAAAGTTTGGCTTCTTTTCCTTCTCCAGTAGCAGGCTGAGCCCTGATCTCAGTCACAGACAGAGTCCTGACCCTTAATCACACACTCAGACTAAACTTGATTCTTCTCCCTGACCGAGCCCAGAACCCAGTCAGACATAGCTTCCACTCCAGTTGTTGACTCAGCTCTGACACTGGTTACATCTCAGGCTGATCCCTGATCCTGATCATATGCTGAGGCCTGAACCCTGGCTCCTCTGGGCCCTGATCAGTCTTTTCACATTGGCCATTTTTGCTAAGGTGAGGGGGTGGGATGGTGAAGACATGAGGAGGGGTAAGTGCCAGGTGCCAGAGAAAGAGCCCAAACCACAGCTGCTAGTCCCTCCCTGAGCCTCAGAGTTTGCAGGGTTTGTGTGGAAGCACTCCTGCAGCTGTGCCTGGTGAACGCAGGAGCCAGTAAGGGCCCCAGGGTGTCCATACCTCACGCCGGGGTCTCCTTCCAGATTGGTTCCTGGGGACCTGACTGAATCTCAGACCCGTCTCCCTCTGGACAGTCGGTGTTGCCACCATCCCCAGGAGGGACCACTGAGCCCAGTCAAAGGACACCTCTCAGATACTTGTGTTCACAGTCAGGACATCCTATGTTCGTCACCCTCCACCCCCAACAATAAAAAGCCATTTCTGCACCTGCTGTGGCCCGTTGCATTCCTTCCACTGGGCTTTCAGGAAAGGCAAGGTATGGGCAATCAGGGCATGAGAGACCTGGATCTGTAGCTGGAAGGAAATTTTGGAATTATGTAGCCTCACTTCCGTGTCTTAAAAATAGGAACACTGAGGCCCAGGATGGGCAAGCAGGTGACCTGAGGTCACATAGAGACAGCCTCACTCTGCTTCTGCTGCACCACCGCCATGTTGGAGGGCTGCCTTCACCAGCACACCTGACCTCATGACCTCCTCATAGGACCCTTTTGCAGGAGACACCAATCTTGTCCCCATTGGACAGATGAGGAAACTGAGGCTCATAAGGACAAGTGATATACTGAGGTTATAGGGTAACAACTGGCAGAACTAGGTTTTAAACCCACAGGTATGGGGTCCCTTGCTCTGAGACGTCCCATCTCCCAGTACTCATACACCTCTCCCCAGCCCCGAGCCTGTCCCTCTGTCCTGGCCCTGATCTCTCCTGCACAGGACTGATGAGGTTTCTCTCATGGCCCTTCTCAACATGCAAGCCCTCAGTTTCCCCTTTGCCCTGGAGTCTGGAGCACAGAGCCCTTTACTCACAGCCGTGTCACCTCTGCAGAGGACAGACCCAGGCTATCACCTCAGGGACCCCGGACCTCTCCTGTCCAGGAGGCCAATCTGACTTTCCTGCCAAGAGGCCCAGAGAACATTTGCCCATCTTGCCATGAGCCATCTCACTGCTGTGTGCAATTCTGTGAGGTATTCTTACTGTCGTCCTCATGGGAGACTAGGGGTAAGACAGGCCAGGGTCACCGAGAGGCCCGAACCAGCACTGCTTCACTCAAGGGCCTTCTGTCTGAAGGATGCCTGACAAGGTCAAGTTGCCACAGGGGGCCCTTGAGCCCCCGGGGCAGCTGGAGGAGACCTTGGAGCAGCTCTCCTAAGAGACACCAGTTCAAGCTGTGCCGGGGCTCCTGACACACGTGAGGTGAGAGGTTGGACAGAGCTGAGCATGACCTGGCCTCTGCTGTTGCCAACTGTGTGATCTCAGCCAACTTACTTAACCTCTCAGAACCACAGTCTTCAAGCCTGCCCAGTGGAGTTAACAGTAAAACCTTCCTCATTGTGTTGACATGAGAATTAAATGAGTCAGTGAGTGGAAAGTGCTTTACCAGAGCCTAACACTGGTGAGCACAAGATGAATGTCAGCCTCTATACACTGGAATTACTGTCAAACGGTGTTGAGAAATTCTGTATTAAATCTTTATACACTGTATCTCACTCAATTCTGATTTCTACTGAGTGATGCAGTGACTGGTTCTTGGAGGAGGTGTGGCAACTGAGTCTCAGAGAGGTGAAGTGACTTCTCCTGGACCACACAGCTGTCAAAGGCAAAGGCATAGCAAAAGGATGAGAGTTTTCCTCTCTGTCTATATTTTGTGACAATCCCAACTCCCACAACAGCACACAAGGAGGTCTCACAATTCAGGACTTCTCTTGAGCAGTGGCCCACTTGGGTCAGTGCTGAGCCTTTGTCCAGGCTGTTCCACCAACTGGTCATCATTTCTTCCCTCCCTCCAGCTTCTCAATCCCCCTCAGCCCTAAGACTCTTCTCAGCACCTGTCTCCTGGTAAGTGGGGGCCATTCCTCAATATTGCCCCAACAATGAGACCATGTTTTCCAACTGGTAGCTCTACCCAAGCTCTCTTGTCATCATTGTCCCATACAGACAGAGGGTTCAGGAAGTTTCAGCTCTCATAAAAACAGTTTACACTTTTTTTAGTAATCTTTTCCCCATTTTTTGGTGAGAAAAACTGACATTCAACACTGTATAAGTTGAAGACAACAGTTTGATTTCTGTGCAATAGGTTAAGCTAATATTCAAGTTCTCAAATGGATACAATAAAAAAGAACAACAGTTTTTCCTTGTGATGAGAACTCTTAGAATTTGCTCTCTTAACAAACTTTCTATATATCATACATCACTGCTAGCTATAGTTACCATGTTGTACATAGTATCCCTAGTGCTAAAATGTGAGGAAGAATAGAAATCAATACCTACATAAAGAAGCAAGAAAAATCCAAATAAATGACCTACCAATGTACCTTAAAGGATTAGAAAAAGACGAATAACTAAGACTTAAGTAACCACTGAAGGAGTACAATAAAGATTACAGCAGGAATAAATTAAATAAGAAGAGAAAAATAATTGAAAATATTAACCAAACTAATATTGGTGCTTTAAAAGAAATTGAAAAATTGGTAAAAGAAATTGAAAAATCCTGGGCTAGATCTCATGACTCACAAGGGGGCTTTAGGTCTTCACATGTTGCCCGGGTCTGCTTTGTCCTCAAGATAGTATTTATATACAAATATTTTGGCAAAGTTCACTAGAAAAAAAAGCTGTACAAAGGGGATGAGACAAAATGTTGTTATAGTGCCTTGGTCTAAGTGTGCCTGAAATCCTCCTTGCCACAAAAATTTCAGTTCAAATACATGTCTCGCTTCCTATTTTTTATCTTTCTTGAAGCCAGGGTGAGTCAGCTCCTGCCATTCAATTCTACAGGAAGTCCTGGAAACATATTTGTAGACTCAAGTCTTCCTCCTCCAATCTGATGCCTACTCGAGCATCACACAACCACACTGGAAACACAACAGACATCAAAGCCACACAGAGCTTAGAGGTCATCATTTTAACCTCTTTGCTGGAAAGTCTAGGGAGCCTGTGGCCTGGGCGAATGGCTTGGCACTGCGGGTGCCTGTTCAGCATTGGTGCTCACGACAACCCACTCAGCAGGCACGGAAAACCTCAATTTCCAGTTGAGGATACTGAGGGTCAGGGAAGGGAGGTGACTGGCCTAGGTTTTACAAGGATAGGAAACTAGCATTTGCACCCTCAGGGACGGTCAGGTCACATTGAGGCCAGTTGATGGGGCAGGAGAGTCCTTGGACTTGAATATGTTTATTCCTTGACGTCTGCTGTTTGAGTTGGTTGTTAGGCCTGGTGCAGTGGGCCCTGTCAACCTGGAACCTGGTCCAGGAAGCCCAGATGGGTGCCCACTTGGCAGCAGGCTTATAGCACCAGCAGAGACCTCTGGGTCACCTGTGTCCATCTCCTCCGGTCCCCCACCTGCATCTCAGTAGGAACCGGATGAACTCAGCGAGGACAAAGTACAGGCAGGGCTGGAGGCTTGAGGAGCCAGCCTTCCTCACCGTAACTGTGCTCCCACCATCAGAGCACAGAGCAGGGGGAGGGTGGCAGCCCAGGTGCCCAAGCCCGGTGCTGGGACATGGAGGACCCCATCCAGCAGGGCCTTGGATCCGTCAGCAGACCACCCTCCACACTGTCTGAGCCTGGTTTGTACACATCTGAGGTCCCTCTTCCCCTGGTTGTGGGCACAGAGCTGAGGGATCTGAGGAAAATCTTGTGGAGAGACTTGTTCTCACCTCAAGACTGCAACCCAGGGGGTGGGGAGTGATGTAATGAACTCAGACCTGGAGTTGGCCCCAGGCTTCCGCTGCCTCATTGTAAAATGGGTAAACAACATGGTACCTGGATCCGCGTGGCAAAATGGAAATTAAAAGTGTACCAAGGGGATGGTGGTCAGACCCCAGTTCTGGATTTGGGCAGACTGCTTTCTAATCCTCTCTTTCCCTGTTGCTGGCTTGAGGCCTGGACAAGGGACTTCATCTCCCTGAACCTCAGGTCCCTAGTGTGCAAAATGAGACCAAATATGGGAGTCTCCTCCCAGGTGTGCTGTGAGGATGTGGAGGGATAGTGTGTGTAGGCTCCGAATACACGGTTACAACACTGATGATGATATTATAATTACACCTCAGGTGTCCCATGTGTACATGACCCCACTGCACAGGCTTATGGAGAGGATGAAGGGAGGAGATCAAGCATCCAATATGCTTCATGCTTAGTCAATTGAAACCAGATTTCTTATTTTGTGCACTATAAAGACCGCATGACCTAGATGGGTTCAAACTTCTGGTACCCCTGTGTCAATAAATTCTGGCTCCCTGGTGACTGGTGCATAATCTTTGGGAGGTAGAGTTCCTCAGCTACCTGTCAGGACCGTGTTAGAGATTCCAAGAAATATGATGTCAAGTACACCTCATTAATTGTAGGGGCTGGATGGAGCTTTCTGCAGAGAAGCCCTCCCAGGGGGCTCCTGGGCTTCGAGGACTGGATTGATTAGTGATGTCTGCCCCAAGTCAGGAGGGGAGAGTGGAACGACTGCATGTTCGCCAGATCAGGACCAGGTCATCTCTAATGGCCCCTCCAGCCCGTGACAGGCACATGGACACCATATGTTCACAGAGGTTGGGACTCTGGGACCTGCCTAGTACTGTGGGGTGGAGAAGGGACCCTGATCTGGGTTCCAGGCTTGGCTCAGTTTTGTGACTCTGAGTAAAATGTTCATTTTCTCCAGGCTCTCCCTTTCTTCTAACTACACAATGAATAGAGGCTTCCTGCTACACATTTGACCCCTTGGTGTTCTGAGAGGTGGTCAGGAATGTCTGGAGGCTACTTGCTACATTCCCACCAGCTGGAGCAACGTGCATAGGGGAGAAACCTCGGGCCATCCCAGCCCACACCCTTAAGCTGATACATATACCTGTGGTCACCTGTGGGGCCAGAGAGAAGGGAGGGGTGGGTTCTAATGCAGCAGAAGTGCCCGTGTCTGGGGAGAGGCCGATGTGCGCAGAACATACTTGAAAACAGAACAACGTGCTCTCCTGAGGGAAGTCAGCCATGGGCAGGGCCCCGATCTGTGTGTTATAATAACAGTCACAAGAACATGTCAGGGAGCATGTGTTCATCAGCTATGATCACAAGGCATTGTTATGGCACAGGGGACATGTCAGGGAACAAAAGAGATGAGATCCCGGACTAGTGGGGCTCCCTCTCCAGTGGATGAGGAAGAAAGCAAATCTTTAGGGACCGCGTGTCCAGATCTATACATGTTAACTGTGTACCCATCAGACCAGTTCAGTGATGTAGTTACACCCACTGTGTCCAACTTACAGGTGAGCAAACTGAGTCTCTAAGAGGGAAAGATCATAAGGCTAGTAAGTGGCAGCGCTCTGATTTAAGATGTTAGTAACAACTTGGCTGCCTTTCCTACCAGGCTGTAAATTCATTAGAGAAGGGATTGCGACTTATTTCATGGTTGAATTTTCAACTTATAGTAAAAACCCTGCACCGAGGACAGTGTTAGTGTTAGTCACTGAGTCGTGTGTGACTCTTT